GTTAAAGTTTGAGGCAGTTTAGCCATATAGCAGTCGAGGTTGACTGATAGTTAAAGTTTGAGGCAGTTTAGCCATATAGCAGTCGAGGTTGACTGATAGCTAAAGTTTGAAGCATTTTAGTTTGAGCTAGGAGAGACGGGCTAGATAGTTACAGAACCATTTCTTAGGGTTCATGAAATTGCGAGCAAAATAGAGATAACAATTCTCTCAAATTGTACAATAGCTATTTACAACACTATCATTTTGGTTCGCAGTGTAATAAAGTTTTTCAATTCAAGCATATTTAGATTAATTTTATTTTGATAGTCTTTACGAACCTCTGACTCTTCAGTAAAAGTAAATTCAACCTTAAGTCTGACCGCGTCAACCTTGTTGCACCGGCTAGTCTTATTGAGTGTCTGCTTCATTTACCCAATGACAGGGCGATACAGTACAAACTGGGACCGGAAAAGTTGACCCGGCTAGGAAATTCAAGTGTACTACGGCTGCTCGTGTCTTGGTTGGGCATTCTTTATTGTTAATCAACAATCAAGGTATTGTGCTTGTCGTAAAATGAATAAGTTTGAAATATCAAAGGTTTACACCATCAGGTTGCAAAGATAATTGGAAAATTTGAGTTTGTGGCAAAAACTCAATTCCTTACGGGAACTAAGAGTTAAAAAAAAAACCTTTGACGGAAAATATTTTGAGGTGAAGAATGCTTCAAATGAACTACGTGAGAAGAAAATGCAAAAATGTTAAAATATAAACTTTATTTCAAAGATACACTATATAGTGATGAAATGGCTTCTAAGAAAGAATAGAATGTCTTTCTTAGAAAATAGGATATTGCTCAAAGATTCTGAAAACACGTTAACACAACTTAAACATAATTTAAACAAAAGTATAAACCTTAAAATTTTTTTTATAATCAAGAAGGACAGATAAATTCGTGATATTATCTTCAATTGTGGTTTGCAATGGTGACTTGCGGATATATTGCCTCAGAATCAATGGAGGAAATCCTGAGAATTAACCACTTTTCAGGCTCAGTCTTGAAAACTAACGATATCCTCTACAGAATTGATTTAAAAGGTATACTTAAACTAAAATTAAAATTAGATTTTAACTGACTCCTACAATATTTAAAAAATACATAGCAGACCACAAGTTGAAAAAACTGGGCCACTGTACGTTGTTTTAACTTAGAAGGTTATTGTTTGTCTAATTTCTTATATCATTAAATAAAAAAGTTCATATCATCAAATTACATTTTTTAACTAAAGGAATTGAGTCTTTGTCAAAAACTCAAACTTTTTTATCCCTATATCTTTGCAACCTGGTGTTGTAAACCTGTGATATTTCAAAATTAAATTACTTGATCTATCAGAAATCATAGTTTGATATATCTAAGGTTTACGACATAAGGTTGCAAAGATATACGAATTAGAAAATTATAATTTGTGGCAAAGACTCAATTCCTTCATGCAATTAAGCAATTAATTTGTTTAACTAAAAACAACATTGGATGTTAGCCACTTATCTGTAATTAATATTGATGAGAGTAATTTTGAAAAAGGTTTCATCATTAGGGCAGGGGGAGAACATGCAACAGCTTGGTTCTTTATTTATTTATTAATAAACAGGAGGGGAGTGTAACAATCATCTAAAATGTACACGCTGTCACGCAAAAATCAGAATTTTGACAGTTACTTCTTTTAAATAAGGTTTATTTAGTTCTTTGTCACAAACTCTGATTTTCTAATTCCTATATCTTCGCAGTCCAATGTTGTAGACATTTGACATTTCAAACTGTGACTTCTGTTAGATTAAATAATACAAGTTTGAAATATCAAAGGTTTTCAACATAGGGTTTAAAAGATATAGGGATTAGAAAATCAGAATTTGTAGCAAGGACTCGGCTCCTTTATAACATGCAAGTACGGAAGGTAAATGATCATAACAAAATTCATGTCCAGTCAACTATTTATGATTATATTCTCAAATTCTAAAAAAATGTTCCAAATTTTGAAATTTTTTCATGGTTACTTGTTCTTATCCAATATTAGAACTGTTTCTAAAAGTTTAATACCCAATAAATGAGTGAAAGAAGCCTGAGTTGCCGAACTCTTAGATTGAACTGTAACGAAGTCCATCTTGTCTGTATCGGAATATTTTGATCTCTCATACAATATCCGTTAAAATAAAATTGTCTATCTAAATACCAGTAATTGTAATCAGGACCTCTAGTTAACCGTGAATTGTCTATCTAAATACCAGTAATTGTAATCAGGACCTCTAGTTAGCCGTGAATTGTCTATCTAAATACCAGTAATTGTAATCAGGACCTCTAATGTACCGTAAATTATCTATCTAAATACCAGTATGTGTAATCAGAACCTCCAGTTTACCGTGAATTGTCTATCTAAATACCAGTAATTGTATTTTGGTGATTGCAAGATTTAATATTCTATTCTCCTTGATTACCTATTTTCTTCTATTTTCATTCTTTACAATCCTTTTCAGCCTTAATATTCACTTATAGAATTAGGGTTTAAGGGATTGAAAGCGTAATTTTTATAATGTTTTACTCTTTGAAAATTAATTGTTTCCGCTCGAGTAAGCGTATACATCTTGGTTTCCAATGAAATAAACTTCGGTGGCGAGAAGCGTCTACTGTACCTATCTCATTAATAATAATAATAATAATACAGTTCAGGTAACTACAATAATAATAATACTAATACTATCAATAATAATAATAATGAAAATAATTATAATAGTAATTCAACCTGCTAATAATAATAATAATAATAATAATAACCTTGGTAATTGTGGGGGTGACCACTGTCCAGCTATACAGGTGGCTCCTGATGGTCCTTCTATCATACTGTATCCACGGTCACATTGGAACATGATTTGCCGACCATTCTGTATCTTCCTGAACAAAATATATTATCATTAGTTATGGTCAGATATTTTTTATTATTACCTGACGTATGGTCTGTACTCGTAGAGTCCAGAGTTCCCGACCAACAAAATTTTCCCGTTATCTATGAACCCAGGGAAAGGACAGTACACTGAACAAAATTAGATGTACATTAAAGGGAAAGACCGCCAAAGTATGGTGGTTGAACTGAGAATGTAGTATTGTGGAGAAATTTTTAGAATTCATTTGAGACAGATAAAAAGTTTTAATGATGTATAATTACTGAGTTTGAGCGCAAAGTCGACGTTCCAAATCATTCGTTTGGGTGGTTACGTTTAGAGAATCGACGACAAAAAAATTTTTCAAAAAAATTGACAGTGATATAATTATATGTTTTTTTTCTCATCGAAAATTGACAGTAAATTAATGTTAGAATCAAATTTTTCTTTTCATTATCATAATGAATTTCTTATTATTTAAGAATTTGTTAGTAGATTTTCTCAACTTCTTCAAATGTCGTCTTTTCAATAAAAAATCCGGGAAATAAACAGAAAACGTTTTGTGAACAATGAAACATTAAATAAATACATAACTAAATAAGATAACTTATTTTCTACACTAAGAGTCAATTTTTTATTTTCTCAACCTGTTTCTAAACAACTATTTGGTTTACTTTAGAATTTTTGTTATTTTTTTGTCGTCGTTATTTAATAATTTAAGAAAAATCGATTCTCCATGAAAACATGTCCCTGAACATCTAACTAGTTTACTGTCAATTTTTTTTTTACATTTTTTGTCGTCGTTATTTAACAATTAAAAAAAATCGATTCTCTGAACGTAACCACCTACATGAATGATTTTAAACGTCGATTTTGCGCTCAAACTCAGTAATTATACAACATTAAAACTTTTTATGCGTCTCAAATGATTCCTGAAAAATTCTCTACTATACTACATTCTCAGTTCAAATACCATACACTTCCGGTCACTCCCTTTAAAGATTCAAATGACAATTTAAAAAAACTTTCATAGCTACTCGATTTTTTTGGGCTTTCGATATCAAGTTATGGTACGTTCTGTTATTCAACTTTCTGTTATTATGAAAGAACGTTATTATATTCCTTTCTGTTATTATGTAAGAACGTTATTATATTCCTTTTCATTTTCCATGATGAATTTACTCAAATCAGAATTTATTCTTGTCCGAAACTAAGTTTCAGAGAAAAAGACAAATCAGGGATTGAAGAAACCAATCAGGCCTCTCAGCGGGCGAGATCCAATTTGAAGATTCTTATTTTATTTTCTTCTTTTCCCATCTTCCTTCCCTCAGATGCAAGATTCTACATAGGGCTGGGCGCCGTATTTTTTTCTCTCAATTCTTGTCAGGATTTGAAATTTACGACAACATAGTTTTTAAATTATCGTTCTTTTCTCCTTAACGATCATCATATGTCCATTAGCGCCTGATCCAATCAGGGTTCAGCCATAAGTTTGGTGTCTATTCTGAACCAATAGAAATAGTATGGCGGTGACATCTATCTTTCTATCTAGCTCATTATCAAATTAGAGATAAATCCTTATATCGGCACTATGACAGTAAATGGAAATATTTACTTCTACTGAAACTATAGTAGTTAACGACCTGTACAAAAAATCATAGACAATAATTGATTTATAAAATGGAACGAACATTTTTTTAAACTGGACGGTTTTGAAAAAAACGGAACGTGGATAGAACGGTCTAGCTGAAGGAGCTGGTGGCCCGGCCGCGTTAAAGCATGTTGAACGAACGTTTTTCAAAACCAAAAACGTGCCCAGCCCTAAACTTCTACAGAGATGGATTCGTCAAATGCAGAATTAAGATTAGGTTCTTCAGCTGGGTGAACTATATAGAGGTGAACTTCAAAGAGAGAAAAATGAATCTGGGTTGACAAAGGTATGCCTTCGGTGTTATCATTTAAGGTATTTGCACTTCAAAATGAAGAAAAACCCTAAAAATATATCTTAAATAAGAAAAAAAACTCCAATGCAAGGACTTGTACTTACAATTAAATCTCTTTTTAGGAAGTTTTAAAATCCTTTATTATTATGTTATTATGTTATCATTTTAGGTTTAACTAAGAAAGAAGTTCAAAACATTTAAAAAAATTATCTAAAATTACGATTCGGTCTCTTTTTAAAAATGTTAGTGGCAAATTTTATTGTTGTTTTAAATTCTTAAATCGTTTAATATAAATTTGAAAGAAACATCTTATAATATTAACAATTTGTTTGTACAATAAGACTTGAAATTATCCACTAGAAAAAAGCTGTAATATTTAGACTTGCTTACATCATTAGATTGGAAATTTTGAATTTATGTGTTTTTAATGTCCATTAAAAACAAAAATTGGGTTTAAAAGTAAGTTCCCTAAAATCGAAATTGTATTTTAAATGTTTTAAAAAGAAAATCATTTGGGGCCACGTGGATTAAACGGTTCTGTCAATATTCCAGAAAGCTGTGACGTTCGATCACAATTTGTCCAATGATTTTAAATAGAAGAAACTCTGGTTAGGGATATCAACCAAAGTTTGTTTTTAGAGACACCCATCTGTACATATATGTATATCCTTGTTTATAGTGACACCCATCTGTACATATATATAAATCCTTGTTTATAGTGACACCCATCTGTACATATATATATATATCCTTGTTTTTAGAGACATCCAACTGTACATATATATATATCCTTGTTTATAGTGACACCCATCTGTACATATATATATCCTTGTTTATAGTGACACCCATCTGTACATATATATATATCCTTGTTTATAGTGACACCCATCTGTACATATATATATCCTTGTTTATAGTGACACCCATCTGTACATATATATATATCCTTGTTTATAGTGACACCCATCTGTACATATATATATATCCTTGTTCATAGTGACACCCATCTGTACATAAAAATATATATACTTGTTTTTAAAGACACCCATCTGTACATATATATACATCCTTGTATATAGAGACACCCGTCTGTACATATATATCTTTGTTTTTAGAGACACCCATCTGTACATATATATATCCTTGTTTATAGAGACACCCATCTGTACATATATATCCTTAAATATAAAGACACCCATCTATACATATATATATATCCTTGTATATAGAGACACCCATCTGTACATATATATATCCTTGTATATAGAGACACGTCCGTCTGTACATATATATATATATACTTGTTTATAGAGACACCCATCTGTACATATATATATATATATATATATATCCTTGTTGTAACCTTATCTTTTAGAACTTGTATCCCTACCTATATATATATATATCCTTGGTTTAAACCTGTCTATTTTAACTTGTATCCATTCATATATATATATCCTTGGTTTAAACCTATCTATTTTAACTTGTATCCCTTCATATATATATCCTTGGTTTAAACTTATCTATTAGAACTTGTATCCCTACCTCTATATATATCCTTGGTTTAAACCTATCTATTTTAACTTGTATCCCTTCATATATATATATCCTTGGTTTAAACTTATCTATTTTAATTTGTATCCCTTCATATATATATCCTTGCTAACTACTATATTTCAGCTGGATTTGATTCACCTGGGTGCTAAGTATGGACCTTGTATGCGCTGGGATGAAGGGATAGATCGACAAATTAGAAATGATAGAATTAAGGTCAGTTTTTACAACACATAATATTTACAAACGTTTTGTTTTGAATCCAAGATGGATACCAGGGAAGTACTGAATCCAAGATGGATTTCAGAGAAGTATTGAATCCAAGATGGATGCCTGGAAAGTATTGAATCCAAGATGGATGTAAGCGTGATTTGTTCAATGCTTGAATTCCCCGCTTC